GAACCTGATATTGCGGAAGCTCTCGCCATGAGACATGCTTTGAACATAACAATTGAATCGGGGTTTACAAGGGTATGCTTGGAGTCAGATTGCTTGAAGTTACACAATGCTTTGGCCAAAGGGACGGTTACGCCAAATGCCTTCGGTACGATTGTGAATGATATACTTAAGCTCTCACAAAGGTGCCACTCCTGCTCTTTTTCCTTTGTGAAACATTCTGGCAACATGGTGGCCCATAATTTAGCTAAATTGTGTAGTCAATTTGATGAGCTTAGAGTTTGGATGGAAGATTTTTCAAGTGATGTAACTGCTTTTGTTATGGCTGATTCCACTTTGATGTTTAATAAAATATCTCTGCTTCCAGTCAAAAAAATTATCTATTACTAAAACAAAATGTTGCTGACGTCATCACTATCCACATGCGTCACTCTCATAATAAAAAATTTCCCGCCTAAATGCAAGGATGATGTCATCTTTTTTTTATTTTTTATTTTTTTATTTTTTTTTATTTTTTATTTTAGCTATCATATTTAATAATTTTGAAATTTGAATTTTAGAAGCTTCCTCATTACAAGTACAACCTATCAATTTATCCTTAAAAATGAAATAATTTTAAGTAGCACACTAATAAATAGACTCCTACATTGAAATATGTATTAGGCAACGTTAAACAAGTATTATATCATAATTTTGATAAAAATCTAAATTTTTTAAAAAGTACAGATTTTTTTGTACAAGGTGCATAATTCTTAAGTAGCATTATTAGAGGCAAGAGGATGTGGGAATATACCAATATACTGGTAATCTTGCTTGGAGGAAGACAAGGAAATGTCCAATGACCAATGCTTGTCCATTTTACGTGTGGTTTATATTTTGACAAAGATCATGGACATTCACTACACAACTTTCTCATATGTAATCATTTTAGACAAGATTTTTATGAATTAATTATGGATCCACCACAAATGATTTTCCTCCCCTTAACTTGAGTCATTTCTCATTTGGTGTATACCATTTTAAATTAATGCTAACTCCATTTTTGAATGCCAAAGTGAGTTTATAGTAATTATATGCATACAAATTAAGATACGAAGAGATATGTTGAATTATATTGCCATTACTTCCTTATGATAGCCTGGACTGGCCCAACAAAAAAGCCCATGTTTGAGGGCTGGAGTTTCCAGTCCAACTCCAAATGTTTCTACAAAATAGCCTTTCAACAGACAAATTAAAGCTCAGCCCAACCTAATGTTAGCACATGAATTTTTTTACTCACTTTATTTTTTTTAAGATGCAATATTTTTTGTTTTTGTAAAGAACCCGAGCAGGGACATACTAGTACTAGGCTAAAACAAGGTCCGCCAAAGTTTGAAGGCTTTGGGGAAATGAGTTGTTACTTTTAATATTCCAACATAAGTTCTTATTAGTTTGCATTATACAAAATCTTGCCGTTAGAGAATTACATTCAAATTTTCATTCAGCAATACTGCACTTTAAACTGCTAATGAGCTAATCTTAGTTAGATTAAATCCAATTAGATGTACTCTAATCAACAGAAATATTCTTTTGTGATGCAAATGACAATACTTTTAGCATATAAGATATATGGGATCTTTTTGGTGGGAACCCCTGCAAAAGAGAAAAGCAAAATTTTACACAGATCAGATGAATTGGCACATTGCCATGTGATATCATCAGGTTTATTCAAGATTCCATTGAGACTATTTCTTTAATTTTTTATTTATTTATTATTTTATTTTTTTTTACATTTTTAATACAAGTAATAATTTAAGTTAATTTAATTGATGAACAAAAAAATAGGGTGAGCTTTCTTAATCATCTTTATCCTTTAGGTTTTAGACTTTGTTTTGATGTATAAAAAAAATTGGATCTCTAAGTAATGTAAGTTAAATTAAAAGACCATCTTTTATCAGAAAATCCCTTAACTTTTCTTTATCTTTAGACATTTATGCCTACTTTGTGGTCTTTCCACTAAAATGCCTTTTTTGGCTAACCAACTTAAAAAAGTTGATCAAAAAGGCTAGAATTTTCATCAAACTTTGTCAGAGTCAAACCCTAAATGTCAAATTAAGTTTGGTAAATATTTTTGATACATACTTTAATTAATTACCTTACAAATTTTAAATCTTCCAATGTCTCCATGATGGGGAGATTAGGAGCTAGCATAGCCCCCAAAGAATACAATCCTTAATGATCAAACCATATAGACGAATGCAAGTTTACATATAGACGAAGTTTTATAATATAATGGAGCATTTTAAATGCAAGATATCGATCAAAACATAAATTTTAATGGCGTCAACTAGACCTCCTTTGTTCTCCATGTCTTCTTATAATGACATTTCTTTTGACCGACTTAGATTTTCCGACCAACTAGGGTGATTACAATTATTTTATGTAACATATCATAGTTTAAGAATAATAAAACTCCATACATCTAATTAGGGCTGCATCATTGTGTAGTAAAAGGGTAAAGCTTGCGACGTTAAAAGTTTGGATGATTTAATCCTTGTATAATTGTATTACTCTAGATTAGTTATTCCTATTCATAACATCAATGAAATGGATGGGTTGCAAATGTAAATAGGAATGAAGAGGAGAACTAAATATATAAGTATATAGTAAAATAAATTTGGAGTGAAGTGTACCTGTGTCATATTTAACTCATAATCTCGAAGAACGAAGTAGAAAGTTAATAAAGATATATAATAACTTAATCATGCTTAAGGAAGTCAAGGCCACACTCATACATATAAGCAGTCAAATAAAGCTTGTTGAAATACATGCCCTTGTCTTGAAGTAAGCACATTTAATGGCCAGATAATTAGTCCTACGGACAAGGCTATCTCGCCATTTTTTTTATTTATTTAATTTTTTTTTTTAGTTATTTGGAAGAAGTAGTTGATTAATGGATTATAGAGATGTAAATACATAAATCAATAAAAATAATTAAATATCATTAGCTCCCACAAGGCGTTGTGTCCCTAATAATAGAGTTGAGAATCAAACTCGTGATTTTCAAGTCATGACACTATTGAACACATACATATTTTCTAACCATGTACTAGATTAAAATTAACTTACGCAGCTATGCATTACAATTTCCTAAGACACAATAGGCCGTGTGTTTTTGAGCTTTTGGCAGAGCAGAGCAGAATAGGTGTCGGGAGAGCACATCAGCTAATTTATACTCAGCAAAGCAGAGCAGACCACCTCAAAAGAACAAGACCCAACCCTAATAGAGATGAAAAACATAATCGATGTTCTAACCACTGGACTGGATCAAGATTAATTATATTAACTTAAGCGTTACACAATTTGGTGAATTTTGAAGTAGAGTTGCAAACTAGCTTAGAATCCATAAAATAACTTGGTTAAGAGGACAACCAAAAAGAGGCTTTCTAATCTCTCACTTTCCAATCAATATATATTTATGTGAAGGCCTCTGTGATTCCTAAGATCCATGATTTTGTTGTTCATAACTAAACCCAATAAAGCACCAAAGCATCTAATCTACTCCCAAGTCCCAACAATATTCTAATAAAAGCATGCATATACAGTCATAAACAGCCTTTTCTTACAATTAATATTTGTATAACAAGATTATTATTATTGAGACACTTAAAAAGAATGTTTTCAACTCTGCAACCGCATCTTAGACTACCCAATAATTATATACTACACCAATATTAGGACAGTGGCTATCATTATTCAACTAAAAAATGTTAATAAAAACATAGATTAGGGAGTCATTTTATTAATGGGGCTCATATCACTTAATGAGTTGATTAGTTTTACCTGTAATGATTGATGAGATTGTAGCGTATTAATCTGCTGCTCGAATTCCTTCATTCTTATTCTACATAAACATAACTATTCACCTAGCGATAGCTCTTATGCTTGCTTGTTATCTATGATGCACCATATTGTCACAATGATACACTCATGATTACGTACGTACACCACATTGCATCATCATAACATAATTACTTGTACAAGATAGATTACCAATTATATTGGCCGAGCTGAGGACTACTTTATTTTGACCTTAATTATTACAATGTAGCTAGTTGTTCTACAAGATACCCAACCTAATTACCTCATTAAGGATCAATTCATCACTCCTTTCTATTCTATATTATTGTAACCCATGAGATAGGGTCATTATTGTGAATGTACCTTTCAAAATATATGGAATAACTAATTAAGGGCATTCTAATATTTCTTCATTTGTTATATTACGAGAGTATAAATTTACAAGGATATGAAAAATGTAAAATTTAATTAAGTTTAACGTTAACAAAATTATGGAGTACTTTGAAAAGGACTTGGGATAACCGGATTCGAGGTACATAAGATATAAGGTAAACGTACATTTTGAGAATGATTACATGACAATCCTAGCTTTAGGAATGCTAAAATCAATTGCCTAGGTTTTGCTAAAACAGTTTACATGAGCTAAGAGTTCATTTGAATCACATGATGTTCACATATTTAAATTTATCTACATGCACTTACTATAAAACTTACTTTTGTTAAACTTATTTTTATTGTAAATTGCTTACTTTAATCCCTGGTTCATTATTATTCTTCGTCTTCTTAAGAATTTTGCCTCATGACTTAAAGATCATGGTACTAAATCAAATTTTACTTGGGCTCACTCTGAAAAGAATGAGAATAATGATCTTACTCCATATTATTTTCCCTCACTTTTAATGAAATCTCACATACAAAGTTTGACTAAATTGACTTGTAAGAAATCTCAATTCAGTAAGGTGGTTCTTCTCTTCATCATAAGGGGAAAAAACATTCAAAAGTTGAATGAATCATGATATACGTCCACCACAGATACAAAAAAGGAAGAAACCATTAAAAATAGTGGTAAATTAGCTAGGGCACATACTTTAGAGAATAAGGGTGTATGACCCCCTAAAATGGGACCCACCAAAAAGAGCCTCCTTACCCTCTTCATAATTATCTCCATCATCATAATTCCATCTCAAAGATAGAATGTGTGAGAGTCAGAAACAAAGAGGAGAGAGAAAATTAAAAGAGAGAGAATGAATGAGATAGAAATCATGATGATGGTGAGTGCACGCAAACCATTCTTGTTTTTTTCTTCTTAGCCTCTTTCATTTTTGGTACTCAATTACAAACAATATTTCTTGATTATCCCCCAAAAAAATAAACTCCTACATTCTCACACAAATTATCATCAAAATCAAACACCTACCCCAAAAAAAAAACAAAGAAATTCATCATGATGATGTTTTCTTCCTCCTCTAAAATTAGTAGTCTCTTATTATTATTACCCTACACTCTGACTCTTGTTCATCATCATCATTACATCCTCACTCCTCTTCTTATTCCTTTTTTCAACTCTCATCATCACCATCATTTCCTCCACCACTATCCTCCTCTCGTCGTACTTCCTCTGTCCTCAAATAATCGTCGTGTCCTGTTATTATTACTATTGCTATTTCAACCTCCCCCTCGAACACGACACCTTATTATCATTATCATCATCAACAACAACTAGAAGAAGAGCAGCAACAACAACATGATGACTATTCTTCTTACTATTTGAAGCAACAAACAAAACAAAGTTGAAGAAATTAAAAAGAGGTTTAATTTATTCTCTCTTAAATATTTCTTTCTATCTCTTGAGTTGTTAGTTGCTCATCACGGGGAATCAAGCATCTTGGTCCGATTGTTTGTACGTTAATTAGCCCTAGTTGGCTAGACATCTAGCTAACTTGGTTTTTTGGTTTGTTTAATTAGGTAGATCTAAATCCTTTTTGCAAGATCTCCATCAAAATTAAGTTTTTATATTATCTAATTTCTGTACTGTTATTACTATTACTATGTTTTTTTTTATGTCGTGCAATTTTTAATTAATTGTATTCGCGTGTTTTTTGTATTAATTTGAAACAAAGTTCTTTGATAAGTTTACACTTTATCATTGCTTGTTTAATAAATTTTCTTTGATTTTACCCTTGATTTGTACTTTGTATTACCTTTGATTTCTAGAATTATGACGTTTTTATTATATTTTATTTTTATTAATTTTCTTGTGTGATATATAATGATAGTTTGCACTCGATCTTAATCAACCTATGTGTTCCTAATAAATTGATATGAGTTTATATTATTAATTATTTCATAACAAAATTTATATTGGGCAAGTGTAATCCATCTATATGATCGATGCCATGTTTATTAATTAAGAATATATAATATCATAATCTTTGACCTACAAGTTAGGGTTTGTATAGATAATCTACGAAGTATATTAATTATGTATCTAGCTTAATGTCTTACCTTAGATGTTGTTTAATTCGAGAACAAATCTATATGATGTTATGTATGTGAGGAAGTATATACTTGTACTGTACGTAGGATTTTATGTAAGAAATATTTTCTTGCATCACGGCATCAAATATCACTATATTGTAAATACAATAAGTGTATTGTATATTGTAGACTTCTACATCGCAAATCACATATATACTTCCTATAAAAACTTGATAATTGTTGGTTTTTATGCGATTTAGGTGACTAAGCATGTTGTAAAACAATAAATCAATGTATACAAAACCTATTGACCCGGTGGTCAACCGGATCTTTGATTATGCCTGGCTATAAATGAGCTGTCTATCATCATGAGCATAGTACTCCAATCTAATCATACCTAAAATTCTCAAGGATTGAAATAATGACGTACTAGATAGCTAGATTCATGAAATTTGCTAATTTTTCAACTCTTTTATGATTATAATTTGTTGCTTCTAGAGTTTCGGATTACTTTCTTGACTTTTGATCAATCGTTACATATGAATATATACAAGTACTGTAATTGTGTAAGAAGTATATACAAGTATTAGAGATCAGAAAGAAAGATGAGAATTAGAAATAGCATATTTTTGGATCCTTAAGCAAGCTAGCTCACTATCTTCATGCATGCACATTCTAATTAAGGTTGATATACAATATACTTCATATATACATATGAAATAAGAATGAAGGTAATTTTATTATTCTAAAGTTTATTACTCGTATAAATTTTCCGTAATATCTCATGTATATCTTTACGATATACAAGTATAAAAATTATATTCATTTACAAAGGATATAAATTAAATAAACGAGCTTCCGTCTAAAAATGTGCATTGTGTGTGGTCTTGTTTGGTTTGGAGTAGATAAGTTAACTATTATATGTTGTCAAAATACCAAAAAGAAAAAACGTTTAGTAGATGACAATAATATCATTCCGTGTTTTGATATCAACAAACCTAAGGATCATTTTTTCTATATGTTCTATAATTTCAAATCTCATAAAATTCTAAAATGATGCGACACATTTCATCTTTTCCTATGCAATTTACTGTCAATATTGAAAGTTGTTGCAACAAACGAAGTCACTTTTGTTATAAAGGTCTACTATGATGTTCCCTCAAAACCCAAAAATGTAAAGTATAGTTTATATGCAAAGATGGTATGAATGTACTTGTTGGCTCTCTCTTCTTGATTATATGCTTGATCAAATGTATAATCATAGATTATCAAGAATATTTGACTATATTTTCTCCGTCTATATCCCTTAGCAAACAGTCTCTTTATTTAGTAGAGTTGTATTCGAATTTTGCATAGGATTCAATTCCAAAATGCAACCCTATTACTGTCAAATATAGACCTTCCAATACTAATGAAACCCTATTAATTTTCAAAAGCATGTAATTTAGTACAAGTGAAGCTCTCCATAGTTGAAATTTGATGTGTTAGGCTTGAACTATTTCGTGTCACGGCTGTTGCTGATAGGTCTCAACCCGCTACTCCACAGAGAATTGCTAGTAACGACGATGGATACAAAAGTGGAAGATTTTATCATTTTGTCCTCTTTCTTGGTACATACCATGCTGCTTTCGCTTGTGACAAAGATCCTTAAATCTATATATTGTGTCATTCTACTGATATGTGGAGTTGCAACATTTAAATGTTAGGAAGAATGAACCCTTATGTTGGCCTGTGGCCACGGCTCAAGACTATGACTGCAAACCCTCCAAGAGGTACTGCAGAAGCAAATCAACCTCAATGAGGCCGAAGCTGAAGCAGCAATTTCTTAATCACGGGCTCATAGCTAAGTAGAACTGAAAATTCTATCAAACACTAGGGTGTACCATACCCTGTGTAAATCTACAACACTTTTTTTTTGTAACTGATTTCTTAATTAAAGCATTATGTTATTATCTTCCATATTTATACCTTTTTAAATTAGAATTTCTCTACATTCATTCATTTTTAAATTTTAAAAACAGAGAGGAAAAATCTAGAGAGAGATATTCAATATTTAGATAGAGAAGTAGAAGGTTAATAGCAAAAATGGTGGTACGGGACAAATTTCTATCATGATTCGGATTGTCGATTTGCAATGGATGGCCATGAGGAAGAAATTTTTTTTGATGATGATGGTGATTTTGTTGACTTTGAATCCGAAGGAGAAGGTAATTATTATATATTTACGTATTTAAGTTTTTTTTATTATTATTATTGTTTTTTTTTTTCCAGAATTTAGATCATGTGAAATCAATATTGATTTTAGTTTTGATAATCAATAATTAATTTTCAACTATTAATAGATTTTGCATTTTTTCTGAATTTGTGTTATTTTTCGGAGGTTGAAGATGATATTCTTTGGATTATGAATTTATGATTAATGTTCTTTTTCATTTTTTGATACATATTTAATTTTTATGTGCTTTAAGGCTTACGTTCTTTGAATTCTTTAAATAGAACCTTATATTCATAGGATTTAGATGACATTTTTAATTATATGATATTTATTTTGAATATCATTTATTAATCTAATATATATATTATATAAATAAAGTAGACATTTTTGGAGAGCATTTGGAGCGCCACGTAAGAACTATACTTATTTCGACCAATAAGAAGAAAGATTTGTATTTTTATTTTTGAATTAAAAAATTATGTCGCCACCTAAATAAAAGTAACGAATTAGATTTGATATATCTAAAATTTTAATGCCATGTAGATTATAATCCACGAATTAAATTATTTTAATGAAAAAAATAAAGTAAAAATATAGGAAAAGATAAATTTATTAATTCAATACTACGAGTATATAAGAAATCCAAAAAAATATACTACAAATATTTAAATGATAAACGCTTATAATAAAGTTTGATACCTATCATTATAAGATAAATTTTGATAGTATTTATGATAATAAATACAAATTGTTCGTTAATTATAATTAAATTAAAATTTGTGATACCTACCATTATAAATTGACACATCATACGACACAAACAAAATTTCGTATCAATAAAAAAAACCTCATCAAGCGAATTTTGTATTAGTAATTTTGTGTTAATTTTTGGTCATCAATGGCCGGGTAATTTTTAGCTTAATTTTTAAAATCCTATGTTTAAATTAGTATTTCTAGTTATTACTTACATTGTATTAATTTAGGATATTCAACGATTATATGTTTATGTTTTATTTACTAAATGTTATTTTACATGCAAATATAACACATCATACGACACAAATAAAATTTCGAATCAATACAAAACCCCATCAAGCGAATTTTGTGTTAGTAATTTTGTGTTAGTTTTAGGTCATCAATATCCGGGTAATTTTTAAAATCTTATGTTTAAATTTATATTTGTAATTATTAGTTACATTGTATTTATTTAGGATACTTAACGTTTATTTGTTTATGTAATGGCATACGATTAGATGTTATATACTTAATATATGGTTGGCTTTAGTTATTTTTGGAGATGATGAAAAAATTCCAATAATACATAAATTTGATTTTATATTGCAACAATTTTTCATTTATTGGTAAATATATTGATTTATTTTATATAAATGTAAAGATTTAATTTATATCAATTTCAGTTTGGCTAACATTTCACGGTTCAATTTATCCATTGATGTAGTAGGTTGGTTGTGGATGAGGTTGGTGATTCTATCGAAATAAAAAATATGGTAAAACAATGAATAATGATTTAGGATTTAAATTACTATAAATTTATCATTTCACATTAAAGATTTTATATAACAGAAAAAATATCATATTTACAATTTATTTATATTTAATAAATTCATTATAAATTATAGTAAAAAAAAAAGGAAATATTAAACTATTATAATTTTGTCTGAAATTATTAAATACAATAAATCAAATAATTAAAAATCTTAGATGAAAAAATCGTGCATCGCACGGGCTTCCATCTAGTTATTTATTATTTTGTGTATTTATTATCATCTAATTTTATTTTATTTTATTTTATTTTATTTTTGTTTTGAAATTGATAACGATATTCTTTTGGAACCTCCTCTAGTGATAAAGAACATTCGTAATATTAATGAAGAACAAGATTATATTATGTAATGAACATTATGTATATTTACCCACCCATCTTGATTCAAAGACAAAATTCAAAGAACATTTCACAATAAACAATGAACATTATGTGACAAAAAAGTACATCATAAAAGTTGAACATGATACGGATACAAAATTCAAAGAACATTTCACTATAAACAATGAACATGTGACTATAATATTACCACCAACAACACATCACCGGAAACAGCTCCCCTCCCCAAACCCCCCGGCTACCTTCGTCACCGTCGTCGCCGCCCTCCCCTCCCCCAAACCACCATCACCGAAACCTCATTCCCCTCCCCTCAAACCACCAACGAATCTGAACGTTGGAGCAATGAGATTGATACGTCGTCGGAGTTGGGGTTTTTTACGTGGTGGGTAGGAGTCGGAAAAGGGAGAGGGAACGGCAAGGAGGCCGGGGTTGGGGGTTGTGGGTGCTGGCAGGGGGTCGCCGGTGGCCCGGGAGTGGGGAAAATTTTAATGAAAGAGATTAACAGTGGTGGTGGTGAATCTAGTGATTCCCATTGTTTTTTTACAACCAAACAACATACTACATTTGAGGGATTTTCATTCCATTTCATTTCATTCCCTTTGTTCATTCCATTCCATTTACCCCGTGCAAACCAAACGACTTCTAACATTAAATCAAATTTGGCATGCTTAATTATCTACTCTACCTGAAACTAAAGTTGCTGATCTTTTGGAGCGTGAAATGCGTGGACCTCTATAAAAATAGGCAATTCCTACTATAATTGGGCCTACTAAGTAGTGATACAAACTCATGGCCCAATAACAACTTATATTATTACATTATATATGGGCCAATTGGGCCACTTAATTAAAAAAATACTACGTAAATTGATGTTCAATTAGTGGGAAGGTTCTGAATATGCACTAGAATGTTCCACACTACCAAATCGTCCACTAACTAATCTTAACCACCAATTAAGTTGACTTTTACATGGATAATCTATATGTATGTATATTAATAATAAATTAATATTATTTTTTATTTTTTTTGACAGCAAAATTAATACTAATTTAAGCTTGTCTTTCTTAAGTAACAGCTGGATCTTAGCTTAAAAAATTGTGACTTAAACTATGCTCTATTAAAGTACTAACTTGTTGATTCTCCTAACGGTTCTTTGACAGTTTGACCTTGAAGAGTACTTAAATTCAATATTTTTGGGATTTATTAGTGGTTTTATAGGTTTTTATTATGACTTACTAAAACTAGAGAAGTATTCGTTAAATAATACTCGTATTAGTTATCACTTGTATTACATTATAGATAGATTATAATATGGTTAACTATCGATTAATTGAAATTTTGCAAAATAAGTTACACGTATTGTGTAGCTTGTGACCTCACTAACCTAAGGATTGAAAGTTATAGAGCTATTTAATTGCTTTAATTTGAATAATTTCCTATCTCAATTCTTATATCAACTTTAATTGTTTTTACATTTTCTTTCTTATAAATCATACTATATTTATCATTTTCATACAACCATACCTTTTAAATTTTTTCGACTTTTACGATAAATGAGCGTAAATAGCTTTCATCCAAGATACTCTCATACTTTCTATACAATTCTTTGAATGTTATCATCTTTATATTATTTTTATAATAAGATCACATCTCTTACAAGATGAAATAAAAACAATAGCAAGAAAGGGATTCATTCTAAGCATAAATATACATCACAAGTTATAAGAGGAAAAATATCACGTTTCTCTCATTATAAGAATATTAATGATAAAATGAGTATTAAATGCCAAGAAAATAGAACAAGAAACATCAAATCAATTAAGAAGGCAAACAATTCCTGCCTCAATAAAGAAGTAAACCTTTTGGTATATCTCAGCATACCATCTTAATCCAACCACATGATTCTCCACCTTTATGTCCCTACCCAAAATCACAACAATAGTTGAACCCCTTTTACTAAACGAGGCCTAAGTGGACCTTACCTTTATGCTCAATTTAAGATATTGGAAAAATAAAAAAATATATGCAGATACATTCTTAAATTGCAAAAGCTGCAAGTAAAACAAATATTTATGTTACTAACTTAGATGTTCATAAGGGAGAGATTGTTATATACATTTGGGTGTATCGTACACTCATAAATATTTTGTTTTCATTTTGATGATGGTTTTTTATTTGATCATCAAATAAAAATTAAAAACTAACCTTGGGTGTACGATGTATAAGTGGATACTATATATACTTCGTACAGATATAAATATTGGATATGTAAGTAAAATTGTTTGAATGCTTGATTTATGTGTTTTTATTTTATAACTCCGTAGTTATAGGAGAGCACCTATTATATGGACTATGTTAAAGTAGTGTATTGATTTGCGATGACTTGCATATATTAAAATTACACATTCGTATTATTTTATTTCATTTTTATATTTAAGTTGTTTTAAATGCTTCAAATTATTCGTCACTTAATATAACTAGAGATTTAGGCCTTCACCTTATTTTCATTTATTTTAGGGTTAATAAGTTCAGATAAGATAAGTTCAGGAAAAATAAGTTTAGATAAGTTGTGATAAGGGTTAATCAGTGTTACCCAAGTTTAATTTATAACTAAAATAAGTTCTAATAAGGGCTAATAAGTTTAGATAAGATTAAATAAGTTCAGATAAGTAAAAATCAGGTGAATAGAACGCACCCTTATATTTTAAGAAGTATTGACAGGGGCGGATCCAGTATTTCCGAGATGGTGAGTCACCATCAATTATTGATCGCTTGTGAAAGTACAATTTTTTTTCCCCCGGATCTAGTTCATAATTAATTTCAATCCAAAAATTATATTACAACCAAATTATTTTCTATCCGAAAATAGGACA